TGCGCTTCACAACAACCACTGTTTTCTCCATTTTGTAACAGGACAAGATGAGACTTGGAGAGGTGATTTGGAGCAATGAGCTCAGACTTCATAGCAGAGACAGAAACAATAGTTAGAACTCAGGTCCTGACCCCAAGCCCAATGACCTTTCCCCTTAGCTGACCACCCTACTGCTCCAAGCAAATGGCACCAAGTGGCTACAGAGAGTGTTTTGCACAGTGGTACCAAGGCCATGTTTCTTCTGCTCACCAGCCACCAGCTATGTTTTGCTTGTACGGAAAGGAATCTTCCTTGCAGAGAAAGCCATAATTCATGGATAACCGCTTCACTTTCTCTATTAGAATGCCTATCCCTTTATTTCAGAGAGTAAACAGAGCCCATGTCTTCTGCCCCTGATTCCAGATGAATCGTCCTACAGGCACTGAAATCATGCCCCTTGTCTGCTCAGATGGCTCCCCACTGCTCTCCTGCTTTAGTCTGTTTTCGATCTTATCTCCTTCAACAGGTGTGAGAGCCCCTTTTAGAGAGAAACCCCCCCTTTCTGCATACAGTCGGTGCACATAAATGCCTTGTGGTTTAAATTATACTTAAGATGCTGCAAGAGAGATCCAAGTGGTCCAATTCACAGAGACAGAAAGTAAGGTGATGTTTCCAGGCGTGGGGGTGGGGCGAATGGGGAGCTGTTATTGAATGAGTCTCAGCAGGGAAACTGGAGACTTTCTGGAGGTAGATGGAGGTGACGGTGATGCAACAGTGCGGAGGAGCCTTGGGCCACTGACCTGCTCACCTAAAAATGGTTAAGATGGCAAATGGTTAAGATGGCAAATGTTTCGGTATGTGTGTTTTACCATAATCTAAAAGAAAAGAGAAAGACAAGGAGGTTCGGACGATGAAGACAAAGAAAAGAAAGAAGCCCTGAGAAGAACAAACAAACAAACAATTGGCTGCACTAATTAAAGGCCTTCCTAGCATGACCAGAGAGCCTGACCCGCCGTCCCCTCTCCTACGTGCCGCAGTGGCTCACGACTGCCCACAGCTGACGTCTGAGCTCCCGAGCTGGTCAGACAAGGCCCTGTGCTACCTGTGGGAAGAAGGTTCTCGTCTGCTCACAGGATGGGGAAACTCTTCCTAGAGCAAGGGGAGAAGAGGGAAGACAGCTGACCGGAGGGCACGGTGCTGGGGACAACACGTAGAGTGGAAGGGGGAGGGAGAGAGAGACAAGCCTGCTTGGAGCTTGAGAGAGGAGTGTGGGAGCTCTGGGGTGGGGGCCACTGAGAAAATATTTGGGGGAACAAATATAACGTGAGTGAGACCAACATCAAGAGAAATGGGGGAAAGGAGACCTGGAGACGTCTCCCTGGAGTTATGTCTGGTACGGCAAGGAAGAAGACGGCAAGCGTTCCGACACATGTCACCACATGGGAAAGTACAACTCGTGCTCTGGGGAAGGCGCCATAGGGCCCAGGGAGGCCCACTCGAGGGCCAGGCTTTCTGAGAGCTGTCTGCTTTCTGGAGGGAATGCGTCTGCTCTGATGCTCACACATGCCCGTGCCATTGCTCCCGGCCCCTGCGCTGGCTGCTCCTGACCGTGACACCTCATCACTGGTTCGGCCTGACTCGGCCCAGAGCTCAGCTCCTGCAAAGCCGGCGGGCTGTGGTTCTCCTCTGTGATCTCGCAACGCCATTGCTTTTGAGAGAGAACGCCACTCTCCATCATTGCTCTGGCCAAATGGCTTTATGAGAATTATTACTTGTAAAATACCTGTGTGGGGACTGCCTCCCCGACTAGACTTCAGACACCTTGAAGATAGGTCGATGTTTGTTCACCCTTGTTCCCTCAGCCATGAGCGCAGCACAAAACAGCTGGCCTGCTGAGTGGTCTCAGAGGGAAAACCCGTCACTTTCTAGGGCCTGGCCGACCCTTCCCCGCATCAGGGCTCCGGGAGAACGCTCGCTGAGACAGGCGAGCAGGGCAGTGGGTAAGAGCGACCTGCGAACAGACGGGAGCGTCCTTGGGATCCTGTCCAGCTGTGATATGACATCATTCAAGATTTTCTTTCTTATTCCCCCAAGGGGACAGTAGCTTTCCCTAAGGAGCTTCCAGACCCACGATGCCCTTCCAGAAATGTGGCAGCCTGCAGGAAAGACCCGGGGCCCCGTGAGGCCAGGGCCAACCTGGCAGAGAAGGCCTGCGCTCCTGCTGGCTGCGCCTCCATCCGACGGGATGTGTGAAAAACGCTTCCTTTCCCACAAAGTGACTGATAGCTTCAGATCCGGTCTCGGATCTCCAACTCAGACCTGAGGCAAGGGGCACTCTAATGAACAAGACTTTGGGGAGAAAAACTGGTCCATATGCCAAAGGGAGAGTCCCATCTCTTCAGCACTGAGTCACTGGTAGTGACACTTTTGTGGCTTCAGATCGTTGCCCCCACCTCGCTAGGGACCAGTGCCCAGGAGTAAGGAGGTGCCACCAAGGTCCTATGGTCCTAGACCAGAGCAGCATCCTCCTAACATTACCAGGGGCTCCAGTTACAGCCCATCTTACTTGAAAAGGCTCTCATGTGCCATTTCTGGGAGGGGTGTAAGACTGCAAGAAAAGAAGTTATATTACAAAAGATATGATTTTTAGAATAAGGGAGGGGACTTTTTACTCTTCAGCTCTGAGTTAGGACATTTCCCTCTAAGAGAAGAATGAGTAAAAACACATGACATCTGGGACCACTGAAGAAATAGAACCTAGTGCAGCTAGAGAAGAAAAGATTCTGTTCTTATTTTAAACACAGGGCAGGCAGTTCTGAGTAGCCTGGGGGGACAGAATAAAAATCAAGGAGTAGAAGCTCCAGGGAAAGAGCTCAACTCAATATAGGAGAACTTTTGACAGTGTCGGCTGTAGAAGGGGGGCCAGCCCACCACTGAAGGTGCACCAGCCGGTGTGGGGAGATGCTACCTCCAGCTGGTGATGCGGTGGGAGACATCCCAGCATCTGACTGTGGCAGTGTTCAGTGGCCTTCAAGGTGGCTGTGGGTGCCACATCCCAGAATTTTCCCATCCATGTCACCTTTAGTCCCAAAGTGTGTCACTGGAGGAAGATATTCTCTCGCTAAAGCGACCCACATTATAGATTCAAAAACTAAGGGACAGCACTTGAGTGACTGGGAGAGGAAACTCAACCGGACAAATGGGCAGCCAACTCTCCCCTAAAAAGGGACATGAAGGGACATTTAAAGTACGGAAGTCCTATAGCAATTAGTACGTCTAAAACCTGGAGAAACGTTTACTTAGTTCCAGAGTTCGTCAGCTTAGCTTCTAAACACTTTTCTGAGCAACCCCATCCCTTGCAGTAGACCCTAAGTACTTACCTGAGGGCCGATTATATTCTCAATCAGCACACAGGGTGACCCCTGGGACAGAATCCGGGTCTATCATTCATTTCAGAATTTTAAGAGAACTAAAGCATTCCCCTTACTCTCACCTAGCTTACTGAAAGGATGATGCCAAAACAGAAACATCACAGGCGACAATATCTTTCATTAATAAGTTTCATTGTAAAGCTCTGGGGGACAAAATCTGATCATTTTCTAGAGTCAATATTTATTCAGTTCCTGCTCTCGCTGAGAGATGTCTTAGGTACATCCAATTAATCCTTGACTGAATCTGCAAGATGACACCGTCTCTGTTTTAATTGGGGGAAATAAAGCTCAGAGGTTAAGTGACTTAGAGTCACCCAGCAATTAGGAGGCACAGCTTGGATTTGGATTGAGATCTGACAACCCATTGCTACTAAGAGAAATTCCCAGTATGAATTGAAAGACTGCTAATGAGCAGTGTTTTGAAGAGGAAAAATTGCATTTGAATGTTAATAGGAGCTTATTAAAATAAGACTATCAATACCCGATTTCCAACATATCAGATTAGGTCCCCCTCAAACACATGCTAAAATATCTCCACACAGCTCCCACTTCAATATGAAAAAGGATCCCAACAAAATTTAAATTGACCTCTAAGATTAGTGAGTTCATTTTACACCCCACTTTGGCTATGAAGCTTAATGCTTTGGGATAACAACATTAAAGACAACAGACAGTGTTGGACCCCTGGAGGACCTTCAAGGTCACCGAGTTTAGTAACTATGAAAATGTACCTAGGGTCACAGGTCTCTCTGGGATTTTAATTAAATCTGTGGACCTCATCTCCAGAAAAACACATTCAGACAACATTTTACCCGCACCTTCGTGGTCTTCAAAGTAAGACCTCCTCACCCAATCTCCTTTCATAGATGAGAAAATTGGGGTTCAGAGAGGTTAAGTGACTTACTCACGATCACACAGCCAACATAGCGGAGGATTGAACCCTAGCCTCCCAGTTCCCAATCTGATACTGTACCACATTCCAAGTTCCAAATTCAGGCTAAAAAAAAAAAAGTCCATTTTTTTACACATAGCACATTTTTTACTAAAATACCATTTCTTTCTCCATCTCTTTAAATAGTCCTCAGATCCCATTGTATTTCTGTCCCAGTCACAACAGGATGGGGTCCCCCAGGCTGTTTCGGGAGCAGTAATGAGGTGTTGAACACGGGCTCTTTGCTAGAGAGGGACCATGAGTCAAGACCTTTCACGGTATTTCTTTAAAATCAACCTCATCCAGGAACTGAACCCAGCAGTGACTGATCTGAATCCTGACAGCCACACTTGTCCTTGTCTCTGCAGGAGTGGGGCTGGCAGCTGGAGAAAGGAAGGGTCAGAGTGGAGACCTGGAGGGTATTACCGTGGTCAGGGGAGAAAGTTCTCTTCTGGGGTTTCCCATCCTCCCCCGTTGCCCCGAGGCCCGTACAGAAAGCCTGCAGCTGGACATGGGTTTGCACGTGAAAGGAAGGAAAGAAGGAAGGAAAGAAGGAAGGAAGGGTGCTCTCGGCAGGGCAGATCCAGAACCTGGGCTCCACTAAGGGCTCAGTGCCTGCTGCAGAGGCGGGCGCCCCGTGCCCACCAGGCTGTACTTACTGTCCTCATCACTCAGATCCCTGTCCATGGTCCAGATGTCCAGCCAGAGAGGCTCTGCCCTTCCAGTGGACGCAGGCCACAGGGATCTGAGGGACCACCCTCGGCCCCTCCCAGCACAGCAGCCCATTGTTACGGGGTTTGAATACAACAGAGGGGAACGTCCCTCAGAGGGAAGCACCTTGCCGCAGGAGCAGCTCCACTCTGCAGGGTTCTTGGACCTCCCGCTCACCAAACGGTTCTATTGGCCAGCCTCTTGCCGGGTGCTCCAGTCACCTGTGTCCTCACCACCCTCTCAGGTGGGCACTTCTGTGAATTCAGTCTGAGCTGAATTCAAATCCTCACGTGTGTGACTCAGTCGGACTCTTGACCGTGGAGCTGTAGTGCTCACCTACAGGAGGCAGGTTTCGGAGAGGGGGTACAGAAAAGTGTAATAACGGTGAGCAGGTTACCCCCCCCCCCCCAAGGAGGAGGGAAGATATGGGCGGGGCCTCTCAAGTCCGAACGTCAGCATCTTCTCACTGGGCAAGAAGTGAGGTCACACAGCACATTGTGGGCCCAGTCAGCTCCCAACGCAGGCTGCGTGGGCCACGCTGTCCCCACACCAACCGAGCCCCCGTAGAACCTCTGTGGCTTTCTTCAGGGTCTCTTTCCAAGCCCTTGGAAGATCACCCTCTCCTGTGATGAGTCTGAACAATGCACACCTGGACCTGGGTCACCTGGTGGTGGGAGCAGAAAGCTTGAGCTCTGACTCCCCTGCGCTGCGTCCTCGGCAGTGACCCTCACTTCTGGGCCTGGAGCTCTCTGGCCATGGAAGCCTTGCTCCACAGGGCACAGCGAGTGGCCCGCCCAGCCCAGCGAGGCCCATGGGGATGCACGTGGCAGTCCTCCATGAACGCCGGTGCCTGCTTCCCCGGGGGGCACTGGCCGGGCTGTCACGCCACACCGCACAGGGGCGGCTCCGAGCAGGACACAAAGCGCCTCCAGTCTCTCTACTGCTCCCACCCTCATCACTGACTGCCCGCCCCCAAAGAACGCTGGCGACCGGCAGGGAAGCGCAGCAATATGTGACAAATGCTTCTTGAACCCCCTCAGACCACTCAGCACCCACACACAGGTTTTAGAGTTGGTAAGAGCACTGAATTTCTTCAGCTTGAGAGGTATGTACGTTTCATTACTGCCTACACATGAGAAAGACCCAGAGCCTGAGGAATGGATTAGTCTTTTTTTTTTAACGTTTTCAGTGATTTTTTTATAGAGAGAGGAAAGGAGAGAGAGAAATATCGATGTGAGAGAGAGACATCTATTAGCTGCCTCCTGCATGCCCCACAGTGGGATCGAGCCCAAAACCCGGGCATGAGCCCTCACCAGAAATCATACTGGGACCTCTCAGTCCATGGGAGGATGCTCAAACCACTGAGCCACGTTGGCTGGGCGTGGATTAGTCTTCTGATACCTTTAAACGTTAAGCAATGATTTTAAGCCCTTGTAGAATTGTCTCCATGGGAACAAGATGTATGTGACTGGCTGTGTGTATGTTTTACTCTAAACATAACATATATGTATATCTATGCCTGCGTTTGTGTATGTGTGTGTGTGTGTGTGTGTGTGTGTGTGTGTGTTTGAGCAGAAACATAGATAGATACATAGATAGATGATTGATAGATAGATTGACTACATGTGGCTTAACTAAAACAATATACCACTACTACAACCTTGAATACTCATTAAGCAGCAATACATACTTGCCTAAAACCCTCCTTGGCATTTGAAAAACAATCAAAGGAAATCATCTAAATGGCAAACAAAAGAAACAGAATGTTAAAACAGAGCTAAATTAAGAAAGGGACCAGAAATCTCAAGGCTTCAAAAATGCAGACAATCACGTATCTCAGGAGCCAGGGAGCGTGGATCAAAGGAGGGCAGGCCCTTGCTGACCTAGTTAGATGACACAGGAATGGGCTAATAAACCAAACGCGCGGAAGAGGAACAAACCAGCTACTGGGCCTCTCTAGCCTTCTTAGGCATTGGCAGGAACGCTTTCTGCAGCAGCATGCTCGAGTGACTCGGGGAAAACATGTGCCCATCACCACCAGCATTCATGGTGTCAGGAACGAGCACCACTAACTCAAGGACCCATAGGAGGCTAATCTTGGTTCCCACCTTCCACTGGCATCAAAAGGGTGTGAGGTGTGGTAAGGGAGGTCCCAGCTGTGTGCCAGGCACTTGGCCTTCCTTTGCCTGTTGTGGATGTCCAGAAGTGGGCTTCTTAGAACAGTTCTTCCTGAATGGGCCTCAGCAGTCATCATGGCATCTTCACGTCCCGCTTGGGGCAAGTACTCATGAAACACTGGTTAAGTGAAACAGCTGTCCAAGACCTAACTCTAGACATTTCTTGCTGTCTGAGAAGCCATGAAGTCTATGTAATGCCAGGGTTTGGTCTCTGAGCCTTGAAGCGACAGCACAGCTCAGGATGCACGTTCGGGTTAGAAGGCAGGTCTAGAAGTCACTCTGCACGGCTGCAGGTGAATGTGACGCGAGGGAAATGCCTAGAGACAGGGCACAACCAGGGCCTGCAAGGGAGCAGAACTGAATCTCAGGACACCCACCCAACGAGCACGAGTGCTGAGAGCTGGTCCAGAAGGACCCTGCCAACTCACCGAAGAGAAGATCTGTCCGGTGAACAGAGCTTCCTTCCATGGGACTGGGCCTCTCGGAAGAGCCTTAGAGCAGAAGCTGAGCAAGCACACAAAGCTGGCCGCGGCCCTGGGTGCAGCGGTCCGGGGCTTGGAGTCGGCGCAAACGGGGTTCCGAGTCCCACCGCGGGCGCTGCGGCACTGCTGCCCCTCTTTTGGAACATTCCTGAAGGACAGGTGAAGGGAAGTCTCCCAGGGGCAGACCTTGGAACGGTGGGCCTGGTTGTGCATTTGGCCGGGGGGCAGTAGCCACAGCAAAGCGTCTGCGGGGAAACGGTTGTCTGGATGGTCAGGAACAGCACCGGAAAATCGGTGACAACGAGGTTGGGACAGATGCACTGTCGACTTCTCTAAATGGACAAAGAATGTGAAGCTCTCTGTACCCCGTGTTAAAGCTCACCAAAAGGTGGCTTGAACAGAGGAGAATTTTAATAATCAAGTTGATAGCATGACCCATTCTGTGGACACAAGCCACGTCTGCCGTTGCCCAGAGGGTCAGCGTGGCGGGGATGGAGACGATACATGGGTTTCCACTCACCCAGGCTGAGTGCTCGGTCTCCCGGAAGCTGAGTCCCGATGTGGCGACTCCCTGGGGCAGGTTGATTGCATCGAACCACTTCCATCATGGAGGGGTAGCGCCCTGTCCTCTAGAAGGGACACTCGGGACACAGCTCTGCCTTCCCTGCGTACAGAACTTCCCTCAAAACTACATCTCTGGTCTCCAGCAAAACACCAGCTGGTTAAGAGACAAGTTTCTGGCAAGTAGATCTGATGTCTAGGTAACCAGAAAGCTCACCAGATGCTCATTCAGCAATCCGGGTGCCTGCCGTGCGCCCATCCTGAGAGGTAAACCAGGAAATTCCTGCCGTTAAGGAACTCCCAGTCCTAGGGGAGAGCAAATTCGTAACCAAGTACTTAAAATGCAGAGGACCAAAGGCCACACGAGGGGGCAGACTGGACGATCTGGAACATGGAGGATCAAGTACTCTGTGGGACCCCTGCATTGGGGTGGTCGTGGCAGAAAATGCTCTGTAAACTAGGCAGTAGTTCACACCAAACTATTGAATGAGTATCAGGTTAAACGTCAGTTCTCGCCAGCAAGCCCTGCCCTCAGCCAGCCTGGTCTATGATTTCTTCGTCTCAGAAGAGGCAGCTCGGCTCAGCCCTTGCTCAAGCTCCCTCCGTCGACCCTGCTTGCTTCCTCCCCACGACGATTCTCAGGACCCTGGCAGCTATCGCTGGTTCTTCTCCCACCAAAATGGTGGCCACCCAGAGGGCCACTGTCCCAGGCTTCCTAATCAATTCACTTGGGCTGGCCCTGGGCTCTTGTTTTTCAGTCAATAGGAATCACCGAGGGTTCTGTCAATAATACAAATTCCCAGGCTCCGCCCCACCCGAAAGCCGGATTCAGCATGTCTCAGGTGGAACCCTGGATCATGCATCCTTGTTACAAGACTCCCGGGTGATTGCATCTCAGGCGCTCTACACTTTAAGAAACACTGACTTGCCCTGGCCGGTTTGGCTCAGCGGTTAGAGCATCGGCCTGCGGTCCTGAGAGACCCGGGTTCGGTTCCCGCTAAGGGCGCGTACCTCGGTTGTAGTTTGTCCCCGGCCCTGGTCGGTCGTGCGGGTGGCAGCCACTCCCTGTGTCCCTTACACATCGATGTTTCTCTCTCTCTCTCTCTGTTCCTCTCTCTCTCTCCCACTCTACCTGAACAAAAAAATGGGAGAGTGTCCTCGGGTGAGGATAAAAAAGAAACGCTGACTTGCCCTGGCCAGTTTGGCTCAGCGGTTAGAGCATCAGCTTGCAGTCCAGAGAGACCCAGGTTCGATTCCCACTAAGGGCACGTACCTCGGTTGCAGTTTGTCCCAGCCCCGGCTGGGTCGTGCAGGAGGTAGCCACTCAATGTGTCCTTTTCACATCGATGTTTCTCTCTCTCTCTCTCTCTCGCTCTCTCTCCCCCCCTCCCCCCACCCCCTCCCATTCTATCTGAACAAAAAATGGAAAAATATCCTCGGGTGAGGATAAAAAAAAAAAAAAGAAAGAAATGCTGACTTAAGGAACCCACTCAGTACAATTCAGCGTTCTAACCTTTTATTTCGTACAAAAGTCATTTCAAGATACAACCCATAAAAGTTTAATGAGATTTCCCACCATCTGTCTAAGATTGTTTTTCCTTTTTATGGAGGAACTCTCTTCAGCTCGAGATAAAGATTTATTACAATATTAGGCTAAGTGCTTTCGTGAGATCATTCTATCAACCCACAGGAAAGAACCTCATTTTCCTTCTTGGGCACAAATCTTATGGGGGTAACAGTAATAACCACAATGAGAATTGGGAAGCATATCAGAGGCTTAGATGTTATC